ATATCTAACAATGCAATCTGTACCTGACATTCTTCTCACAAAGATATAATGATCAGTGTTGACTGGGAGGGACTAAGCATTTTGATGCTATCTTCCTATTATCTATACAGGGAGGAGAAGATGGATGGAGATGTTTTCTAAGAGTTTCACTTTCTGTCCCTGTGACTCTACATCTATGACAGGAAAAACCAGCAACTCTGGATAATACTGTTCATCTTTCTGGTTTCAGCCCAAAGCCAACCCACTTGGGTGTCAGGCTGCATCCCAAATGCTGTCAAAGGGCCTCTCTTCCCATCACTCAAATCAGACAATCTCTCCTTATCTTTAATAATTCTTTCTGATTCTGTGGGTTATTTCTAAAATCCTAGCCCTATGCTGATCAGCATTCTCTATCAGTGACTGTCTATCCTGTATTACACACACACACACACACACACACACACACACACACACACACACAGATTCACTCCACATCTTCCTCCCTTATTTCCTCCCCTTAGAACTGAACAAAAAACAAATGTTATATTTTATGGGGCCGGGTATTTAGCTCAGTGGTTTCCCCGCCTGCTGTGCAAGCACAAGGACTTGAGTTCAATCCCTTGTACCAGAAAAGAAAAAAAAATGTTGTATTTTACTTATTGTTAGACTCTCCCATTGACTCTACCATGGGAGCTCCAATTATTAAATCAAAATTCCTGCTCCTCACTTTGAGGGCAGGGTGGGAATTTTCATCTATTTTCTTTACTCTTTTTTTTTTTTTTTTTTTGGTACTGGGGATTGAACTCGGGACCTTTCATTTGGTGAGGCAGGTGGCGGAACCACTGAGCTAAATCCCTGGCCCTCTGTTTTCTTTACTCTTGTATCCCCAGAACCTAGAACAGCACCTAGCACAAAATAAATAATTTGCTGAATGAATGAATGAACAAATGAATGAACAAACAAGCCTGGGGTTTCAGGCCTGTTTCATATTCTGTAACTCGATTCTACATTCTCCAGTCACATCACAGACAAATCAAAACATCTCAATCTTGGCGGGCATGGCGGCACATGCCTGTAATCCCAGCATTCAAGAGGCTGGGCTCGGCAGGAGAACTGCCACAAGTTCAAGGCCAGCCTGGGCTATATAGTGAGTTCCAGGCTTGCCTGAACTGCATAGTGAGACTGTCTCAAAAACAAAAACAAAACAAAAACTTAATCCCTCCTGTCTCCAGACCATCTCCAGGTCAATTCCAGAAACTTAAAAGGCTGTCTCCCATTCAAAAACAAGTCCTTGCCTCCCTGTCAGTCATTTAAGTCTGGCACAGTGTTATCAAGTTGATCTTAATCTGCTTACACTTGCCCTATCATCATCTCCACTGTCACTGCTGTCACCTTCATTCAGGCCATCACTTCCCTTCTGGGATTTGCTCAAATAGCTCATTCATCTCCATTCTCAGACCCTTCCAGGACATACTCCCTAGAACTGAAAGAGTAAACTTTCAAAACCTGTGGATCAGATCACCCAAGCCTTGTTGTTAAGGTCCATCAGTTTCTCCTCACCTATAAAATCAAGTCCATACTCCTTCTCATGCTACCCACAGCCTTCCCCCTCCCAATCAACTGTGTATGATTGCCCAGTTCCACTGAGAAACACAGTTCTATGTCTGTGTCATCTGCTCTGCACCCAATGTTCTTCCTTTATCACTTGGAGAGACACAGCTTGATCTCAGAACCTATTCAAATATTTACCCCTCTCTAAAGTGGTCCCGACTCCCAGACACACTCCATGGCAACACTGGTAACTGGGAGCTCACCAAGGTCAGGAACTGTCTCAGTCCATCTTCCCAGCCACAGTGCCAGGTGCACATAGCAGGAGCACAATGATTTTAGAGTGAGTGAGTGAACATGTAGAAATAATGAAATACCACACTACTGTAAAGCCTATTCAAATGAATGAGAAGGAAGCAGCTTCCTTTCATGCTCCCAGGGTAATTCTGGAATCCCTGTCTATCCCACTGATGTTCACGTCTACAGAGTCCTCTGTTGGGTACTTTTTAACACCATTTTCAGGAAAGAGGATAGGAGGTAAAGGCTAACACTCAACATCATCCAAAGAAAATATCTGCCAAAACCTCAAAGGTAAAAGGCTGAGGTAAATCTTGCATGGATAAGTACAGACATATGTATGAAAGGGTCTTCTACAAACTATGCTATCATCTCACATTAGGAGCTGTGTGCTTTAGTACAGTTTCAAAAAGGCCCAGGAACTTGTATAGACATTCTATTACTGGTGTCCTGTTCACAGAGGTTTTCAAAATGAGCCGAAGAAAGCAAAAATCACAGTCTCAGAGAAACAGTTAAAGAAAGAAATACTAAATTTTAAAAAATAGCCAGGCATGGTGGTGTACACCAGTAGTTGCAGCACTCAGGAAGCTGAGGCAGGAGGATCACTGTGAGTTCAAGGCCAGCCTGAACTACGTAGTGAGACCCTGTCTCAAAAAAAAAAAAAAAAGTTTAGCTAAACTTATCTTTTCCTATATCCAGCCAGTACTAGAATTTTTCCTTTATAAATATATAATGTATAATAAAAATGTAAAGAAAAAGTTAATTTGCCAAATTTACACTCTTCAAGGTCAAAACAACAAATTCCTCCAGCTTTTTCTTTTTTGGTCAGTGTCTTTGAGACTTTTAATCTATAAATAAAAAATAAAAGTTACCAATAAATTAACAAATGGGGAGCTGGGCATGGTGGCGCACACCTGTAATCCCAGCACTTGGGAGGATGAAGTAGGACAACTGCCATGAGTTTGAGGCTAGCCTAGGCTACATACTGAGTTCAAGCCTACCCTGAACTGCACAGTGAGACCCTGTCTCAAAAAAACCAAACACATAAAACCAAAAAAAAAGGATATTGCAAAAGATTCAATGAATTGGTGACTTCCAAACACATTTAATAATCTCATCTGTTTATATTTCTGATTCAAGTAATATACTACACAAAGTACAACTTACAAAACTGCTATCACTGTCCTTCGGCCCAATATATCTGACTATTACATATAATGCTGTGTACCACTGCCTGGAATTTATCCTGTAATCCCTGATGACGGAGCCTGCTACTCTCAGGTCCTAAAGGTAGCAAAATACCTAGGAAGGATTACACTCATACCTCCCTCCACTAACAACACCTTCAGGTCCAGGAGCAGGTGCCATCCTCATCAGAAGACACTTGTCACATCAGACTCTTTCAAATGAACTGCAAAGTGCCATTTCCAACCCCACCAGTGCAACATTTTAAACTAAGTCAAGAGAATTCTTAGGTGAAAATATTTTGCTACTACATCCATAAATTCTTCAATAACTAACAAAATAAATACAATACAGAAAAATCAGGAGGATAAACCATCCTTGCCAGATAACAAATAAATAAATGATATGGAGAGCTCAGATCACAAGCCAGAGAAAGAAAATGCCCTTGGGCTGGGATTTAGCTCAGTGGTTCCACTGCCTGCCTCACAAGCATAAGGTCCTGAGTTCGATCCCCGGTACCAAAAAAAAAAAAAAAAAGAAAGAACAGAAAATGCCCATCAAGCATACACTGTTATTCCAAGACCAACAGCCTGTACAAGCCCTAACTCAGCCACCTGCTGTCTCTGGTTTAAACTATCACATCTGCTATGTCTGATTTAAACTATTGTTTTGTTTGTTTGTTTTTTGGTACCAGGGATCAAACTCGGGACCTTGCGCTTGCATGGCAGGCTCCAGAACCACTGAGCTAAATCCGCGGTCCTAAACTATTATTTCTTCTTCTGAGGATTTCCTCTCCTGGGGCCTTTAACTATGTAATTATGCAGCATGTGGACACCACAAAACAGAATATAGCCTTATGAATGTAGGCTTTTAAAATTTAAATCAATGTCATGTTCTCTACATACTTCTAAAATAGATATTCCCTTCATTTTTTTTATTTTCTGGAACTGGGAATTGAACTCAAGACCTTGCACTTGGCAGGTAGGTGCCCACACCACTGAGCTACATCCCTGACCCTAGATCTTCCCTTTAATCTGAAAGAATTTTAGTTTAAACTGTTTAAAAGAGGGTGGGTGAGTCAGAAATGTAGCAGATTTACTTAGAGTCCTTATTTTTTGGTTCCACTTATTTATATATCACTTTCCAGAACTCAAAGATTTTTGTCATTTTTAAAAATAAAAAATAATAATATAAATCACCCAGTAAAAATATCAAGAACAGTTATGAGTTTAAGATCAGAGACAAGAGGTCAGATATAAATCTGAGAGGACAGAAGAGGGGGACAAAAGAATTCCTTGGGTGCCTTTTTCACTTTCAAATCATATGGTAGCTCATAAAATTCAACATTCTAAAATGCTGGGGTCTATGTGGTAGGACAAATATCACGATAAGCATCCCGACAAATGAATGATGAAAGCCAAAAATGCAAACATTGTTTAAAATGAGAGATATATAATTCCATCTAATTCTTGAGGGTCCTGCAGGGCAGAGCCAACTTCTATCCCTATTTTGACATCAAGCAAAGCAAGACCTGGCAAGGAGAAAGATTTTAATCTTCACAGTTTTGTCAAAAGGGATGCAGAATCATTTGCATGGGATTTAAGGGTGAGCAGATGAAATGCAAAGGCAATTTCTTGAAGTGCTAAAAAGTTCTGACTGCTGAAGGGTTCTGATATCCTTTTATTCATGGGACTGTCCCCAGAATTTCAAAAATGTTAACAGTCAATTGGTAGTGTGTGCATTTTCAAAGATCTTCCTTCTAAAGGTCACACCTAGGTCAGTGCTGTCTCAGTGTCCCTGACTAAAGCATGATTACATCTGTGATATTTGAGTCACTAGAGAAAAAATTGCACTGATCCTGAGATTCCCGCATGGTCAAGTATTCTGAGACAGCTGAGCAGCCTTAACACTGATGCTGCAAACAGATTTTTTTTTAATTTAATGCACAAAGGATAGAGGAGAAAAATGATGAGGCAAAGAAATGCACATACCTCTCAACTGGTCAGCAACCACACTCTGGCCAAGGCGTTCAATAACTTTCCCATCTTCCATTTTGTACCGGTCATCTAAGTATTTTGCAGTGGCCTCAGAAATGTGAACTTTACCAGCCACTCCCAGCTGCTCCATGAGATTGGCCAAGTTTACATCATTGGACCACACATCAAATTTAAACCTCCTCATACCCAAGATGCCACACAACACAGTCCCCGTATGAACCCCGACTCGCATGTTCACCATTTCTTTCTTCTCTTGGCAGAACTGTTCAATGGCTTTTATCATCCCTAAGCCCATTTCGATACAGCAGTAGGCATGGTCTGCTCGGGGCTCAGGACACCCTGCCACACAATAGTAACAGTCTCCCAGTGTGCTGATTTTCTCACATTTGGTCTCCTCACACAGCCGGTCAAAGCGACCAAACAGGTCGTTGAGGAGACCCACCAGGGCATGAGCAGACTTGTTGGCACTCATCTTGGTGAAGCCCACAATATCTGCAAATAAAATACTGACTTCTTCAATCTGCTGCATCTTAAAAGGGCGGAATGCTATTGGAGCTTTCTGTATGGAGGACTTTTTCTTCCTGTTTTTGGGGCTGGAAGTAGCATGCCTCTTGACAGAATTCTCACTCTCCTCATCCCCCTGTTTCATTAAGTCATCAGCAATAATTCTTGGCATAACAGAATGAATCATCCTCTCTTTGAGGGCTTTTTCTACTTCTAGGTCTTTTCCGTGCATGATGGATTGTCCCACCTTGAGGAAGGTGCTCCTGGACCTCACCTGAGACATGACAAATAGGTGGATCCCAATGGCATGAATGCACACGTGGAGCAGGGCCCGGCTCAGCAACTCCCAGTGCAGGGCCGGGACTTCAGGAGAGGGGAAGCAGTCTTCATCTCGGAAATGATAGCCAAAGGTCTCAAAAAGGACAGAATAGGCCACCCCCAAAAACAAGCTCAAGTACAAAGGTAAGTGCATGACAGTATAAAGCAAAAAGAGCACTTCGATGCACATGGAAAAGCTCCCCACTTGAGACAGGCAAATGTCTGCGGGCCTGGCTGTAGGAGTACGATTGGAGCTGTCAACTCGTCCTGAGAGAGGCGTCAAAACCTGAAATTGCGCAGCCAGAGTCAAGGCGAACACCAGCAGGGTGAAAGCCAGTGAGGTCCACGAGTAATGCCGGGTGTACAGCTTGGTGAAGGTAAATAGAAAAAAGCCCACGCACACCACCAGGAAGCACAGAGGGGGAGCCATCATGACAATCAGTTTGGACCTCATGTGGACAGCGAAATAGATGCTCCAGAGAAGGCAGGCGAAGCCCACGTAGAAGAGTGCATACCGGAAGCGGCGCTGGGTCTGCGGGAAGCAGCGCTCCAGGCAGGCTTCCTCCAGGTTCACCGAGTCGAACTTGGGATCCCACCACCGGCTGGATGCCCGCTCGAACAGCTGGGGCAGCTTCCTCTGCCTGCGAAGGCGGCTCCTGCCGCCCACCCTCCGAGGAAGCCCCCCGGAGTCCCCAGAGCTGCTACAGCTGGAAGAGATGCTGTACTTGCAGTGCTTGGGGTGGCTGTTAGAGGATAGCTGCTTGGGGTTTATCTTGACCCTTACGCTGTTGCTGTCTCCGCTGGAGTCGCAGCTCACCTCAGTACTGTGGTGATGCAGCAGCTGCTGGTGGGGCGGGGAAGCCATGTTGCCAGGCTCTCGAAATCTTCCCAGCTTGGTCAAGGGTACCTGCGGCCAAAACGACGATAGTCAGAGCCGCCTCGCTACACAGACACCGGAAGGGCACGCGACCTGTGCCTGTCCCAAGTGCGGGCTCAGGTGAGAGACTTAGGAAGGTACCATATACTCAACAAAAACCGCCGGAAAAGGCTAGTTATTGCCCTAACCGCCCCACCTCCGAGGCGGCCGAGAACCGCTCAGGACTGACCTGGTGCTCCCGGGGATCCGGGCGCCGCTGCCGCCCTGGGTCCTGGGTCCTGGGTCCGGGACACGGTGCGCACCCCTTGGGCACACTCGCCCGCTGGTGGCGTCCGCGCCGCGCGCCTCCAACTGCGGCTTCAGAGGGAAGTTCAGTCCTTGAGCACTCCGGGAGCAGCGAGCCGCTTTCGTAAAAACAACTCCAGCGGCGAGCAGCGCTTCATCCTGCAGCAGCAGCAGCGCCGGGTGCGTCAAAAGCGCGCGGGCCGGACCTGCGCTGCTGGCCTTGTCCCCTCCTGGCGCAGCCGAACCCCGGCCCGCGCCTCCGCACTCTGGCTCGCCCTGCCCGCGGCAGGGGGCGCACCCCGGCCCGCGAGTTTGCCGAGCCCGCGGGCCCCCGTCGGAGCAGCCAGTCTAGCGGGGCCTGCTGCCCGCAGCCGAGCGCGCCGCACCCCGCTCAGGGGCCGACGACACTCCGGGTCGAGTCGCGGACCCCTCCGCGGGCGGCAGTGCGGGCTGCGGCAGAGTCGGGCTCCCGCGTCGCTTCGCCGGCCCGGACGCCGCGCCCACGCCCCGGGGGCCCTGCCCGAGCTAGCGATGCCGCCGGGGCTGCGCCAGCCGCCGGCTTTCCCGCGGCCGCTGCCTCATGTCGGAAGAGCAGCCGCAGCCACCTTCTCCGGCCCCCTCCCCCTCCCGCTGTCACTGACAGACGCGCGCCCGCGCCGCCCCTCGCCCCACCGCAGCGCGCAAGCGCGGCCCTCGCACGCCGCCGCCAGGACCCGGACACGCGCACGAGCCGCGCGCCGCTCCGCCTTGGAGCGCGCCGGGCCGGGGGCTGCGGGCGGGGTGGGGCGGGGCGGGGCGGGGCGGGGCGGGAGGTCGCTGGGTTCCGCCCTCCGCCCTGGGCCGCGCCGCGCCCTGGCCGCCAGCTGTGGAGAGACAAACTCCCAGCAGCCTGAGACCACCTGCCCGAAGAGCGAGCCCGGGGGCCCTGGCGAGGAAAAGAGTTGCTGGGGCACAGAGTGGGAGCAGCCACCTCCTGGTACATCGAAGTTTTCAAACATTGAGTTCGCCTAAAGGAAGGCCCCCATTCTGCAGCAATGAATGCATGCCCCCTGTGGCACCCAGGCTCTCTGAACCTGCTCGCCCAGCGACCACCACAGGCCAAGCCCCGCCTCTGGTGGCCTCGAAAAACGAGATGCCACTGAGGACCACCTCCAGCCGCAGGGGGAGTCGGCCTCCATCTGCGGGTGACTCTGCCCCTGGTCTTGAGCAACTTTTTTTGTTGTTTTTCCTTTTCTACAAATGAAACTTTGTGGTAAACAATTCTTGTGGTAAAAATCGGCTTCCATAAATAGTCTGCACTATATAATATTCTACACTTTCCAGCACCATCCTGACCCCTTCTCCTTCCTATACAATACAGCAAGGGGTCTTTCCCTTCCCTCCCCTCCACCTGCCAGGCCGATCCTGGGGAAGCCCACACAACACTGTGGAATTAAAAAGTATGAATGTAAAATATGGGTTATCCATACAATGGAATATTATTTAGCCTTAAAAAGGAATGGAGCACTGATGCATGCTACAGATGGGTGAATCTTCAAAACATGCTCAATGAAAGAAGCCAGATACAAAAGGCCACATATATGACTCAATTATAGGAAATGTCTATAACAGGCAAATCCATAAAACTGGTGGATGCTAGGGGATGGGGGAGGAAGAATTGGGAGGTACTGCTAATGGGTTTGGAGTTTTCTTTTGCAGTGATGAAGAAGTCTAGAAATAGAGGTAATACAACATTGTAAATTACATGGTGGTTGCACAACATTATGAATGTATATAATGCCATTGAATTATACACTTTAAAATGCCTTAAGTGATAACTTTTATGTTGTGTATATTTTACCACTATAAAAGGGGGACTAGCCGGGCGTGGTGGCACACACCTGTGATCCCAGCACTCAGGAGGCTGAGGCAGGAGGATCATGTCTCAAAAAACAACAAAAACAAACAGAAAAAGTAACATATTGCATTGCAGTAGTATTTCTGTGAAAAGGGCATATTCTCAGCCTAATTATGAGAAAACATCAGATGAACCCAAATGAGACAGTCTACAAAGTAACAAGTACTCATTAAAAGTGTCAGGGTCCTAAAAGATAACTGTCTGAGGAAATGTCACAAATTATGAACTGTCATTAAGGGGATATAACAACTAAATGGAACATAGGATCCTGGTTTGGGTCATGGAACAGAAAAGGATAGTCAAGGGAAAACTGGCTTCACTAAAGTCTGCAGTTTAGTTAATGGCACTGTGCCATTGTTAATTTTCTGGTTTTGAGCCTTGTCCTATAGCAGAAGCTGAGCATAGGGTACAAGAAAACTCCCCTGTATTTTTGCAACTTTTAAGTCTAAAATTATTTCAAAATGAAAAACAAACCCTTCTTGAGCATTAACTATGTGTACTTTTCATGAATCTGGGTTTGAAAAGTAGGGTCCAAGCTAGTAAACAAGACAATATTGGTAAACTAACAATGGCCAAATGTGTTGGAAGAGCCAGAAACTACTGGACACTTTCACTTGTGATCTATTTGGTCCTTACCACAGTTCTGAAGTAGATATTATTGTTCCTCATTTAGAGATGTGAAACTGGGTATTCAAGAATAACATGCCCAAAGTCCCACAAAGGGCAAGTCACAAGTTCACGTTTGAAAGCAGACTTCTGAGGTCATGACACTCTGAATAGCCCAGCCACCACCCTCGTAAGCCTATGGTGATCCAGCATCACCTAGCTGAGCAAGAGGCCCTGGACATGGAGCTCACAACTTCCATTTTTCTCCATTAATGCAATGTTCCCCACTTCCTAGTTTCCCCCAGACAATAGGAAAATTCACCTGTTTACAGTTTTCTTCCCCTCCCCAAATCATTTCAGTCTACTCACCATTTGTGGTAACTTTTGCATTTATAAATTAGTTATTTTGGGCTTTTATACATGGCTAATAACCATATCCACATCCCTCCTTTCTTGTATGTCCTTGTGGAAGCAGTTTTGCTACATTCCCTGCTGTTGAAACCTTCAAGCTGCCACAGACTTCCCAACCTCCAGGTTAGGGTGTGAGTCATTCTATAAACCCTTGGGTTGGGGACATAGTATCTGGCACTGTGCATTAGGTCCCAGGGGCACATTGAAATGTCATCCCTATCTCTAGAGGGCAGGGAAAGATGTTTGGAAAGGATCTGGGTTAGGAAGGTGGAATAAATTAGGATTGGAGACAGATTGGATATGAGAGAGAAGTCTACAGAGGAGGTTAACCACATTCTCACAGTGTCAGAACCCAGAGGGAAGTCACCCAAGAATTCTGGGTCCTTTCTCTCCACCCTCAAAAAACATAAAGGTTTCGGATACTCAAAGGGTATGGAACAGATGCAATGGCTTTCTCCCACCATCCAATCCAGGTTGCTGCCAAATCTCCAGGGTTTTCTCTCCATCAGAGACATGCAAAATTCCCATCCAGATGCTATGTGAATCAGAATGTGTCCATACAAACTCTACAAAAGCTTACGGAAAGTCTTGCCTGTTCAAGAAAGTCTTGCCTCTCATTCTCACCCTCTCTCACTTGCAAGTTCATCTCCTCAGTGAGGACCACAGCACCAAGCCATCAGAAGTCACACAGGGTGCCTGGCTTTAAGATAAGTAGCATGTTGATTGAGCTCTGCCCATTCTCATCACACGAGTCCTTGAGGTCTTAGCAGTGTTCATGTTTTTTCTGGTTGTCAGGTGGATAATAATCTTGGAGATGATTTCCACTGGAAGACAGATTTCCTGCTGCTACTGGGTCACGTGTCCAAAGCTGCAATTACAAGCTTTGAGTCCTTTTCCTTCTAACTGATGGGGGTAAATTTGTAGAATCTGCATTTTCCCCACCATTGACTTTTTTTCAGTACTGAAAGTTGAACTCAGGGTCTTTGCACTGAGCTACATCCTATAGACAGAAACTTGAGAAGTCACTAAGTCCTAGGCTGGGCTCAAACTTGTAATCCTAGTGCCCCAGACCCCTAGATTGCTGTGGCTCCATTCCTGGCATTCCCATTGACTTTCTTGATCCAAGTGACTGGTCATAAGCCTTGGGCAGCTGCCTTCACATTGACAGGATCGGGTGTTGCAGCAAAGCAAAAGAAGACCCACTGAAGCACACCAAAACCCTTTGCAGGCTCCATGTAATGAAAGAATATTCAATGTAACTATGTATGTAGATTCTAAACCCTGCTGTGCCTATCCCAGTAAACAGTCATTGAATGAACAAATATAGGAATTAAAAGAAGAGATGTATGTGAAATAGTTACTCTCAATTGCTTTTAATAAGTATAATAACATTTTAACACAATATTTATAAGTTTTCTCCTTACATTTATTGAAGAGGCTCTAGTTTGAACCTAAACCTAAAATTTGGGACAAGCATTTATATGACCCTATGGAGTAGGGAGGACAAGGCCGCTAGGAGTGATCACATTTTGAAATAAGGAGAAGCTAGTTTGTACCCCCAGGAGGACAAGCTTAGATGAGAGAGAGAATGGGAGATTCTGAGTAAAATGTGCCTGTCACTCAGATTTGTCACCCAGCCCAGCTTTTGATGGACGGTTTGTTCTTCTCATCACATTCAATCGGTAATGTGAGAAACCAAGGAGGGCAAGAAAAACGCGAGAGCTGTGTAGTGTGTTGGATGGTGTCCTCTCAAAATTCACATCCACTAGGAACCTCAGAATGTGACTTTGTATAGAAATAGGATCTTTCAGGGCCAGGGATTTAGCTCAGTGGCGTCACATCTGCCTTGCAAGTGCAAGGTCCTCCGTTCGATCCCCAGTACCAGGAAAAAAAAAAAAGAAGAAGAAGAAAGGAAGGAAGGAAGGAAGGAAGGAAGAGAGGGAGGGAAGGAAGGAAAAAAGAAAAGACATAGGATCTTTGCACATGTAATCAGTTAAGATGAGGTCACACTGGATTAGGCTGGCCCTAAATCCATGGACTGGTATTCCAATGAGAGACACAGATAGCACAGAGACACAGGGGAGAAGAAGCCATGTGAGGAAGAGAGAGATAGGAGATACGTCACCAAGCCACCAGAGGCTGGAAGAAGCAGGAAGGATCCTCTCCTAAAGCCTTCAGAAGGAGTGTGGCCCTGCTGGCACTCTGATTTAAGATTTCTGCCCTCTAAAACTATAAAAGAATAAATTTCTATTGTTCTAAGCCACCTAGATCATGGAAATTTGTTATAGTGCCCTCAG